ACTTCGCAGTGTATTAGGTCATTGTACGTATTCTAACTATAATTTGGTGATTCTATTGAAACAGACAATATAAAAATTCGTGACCTAAATACCATATTCGAAAACAAAAATCACAATTTTTTTAACGCCCTAATGGTAAAATCGATACACATACAAAACTATCCAAAACACCTATGACACACTTTTATCTGTTCTTGTTGTTATTGTATAATGTAGTGACTGTAGGACGTTGAACTGATTGTCGTCATTATAAGCACATTTAACTGTTTTTCCAGCAGATCATAAAAATTATAATAATTTTGGATATTTGTATTATGTTATGCATATATTTTTGCTTTGGTCAAATAATAAGTTGAAATATACAGGGTTGGCCACCGGTAACGACTCGATCTGTAGACTCAAAACTATTTGATTTTTTTTTAAATCTGTTTTTCACAACGAGATGTAAATCAGTAAAGGTACCAATTTAAAAATAATTTCAATTATACAGAGTTTTACATTACAAAGTTAGGTTTTTTTAAATGGGTCATCCTATATTTTATTTTATATATGATTTGCCCCCGCTCTTCTTATTATAACAATATCAAGCAGTATGACAATATACAGGGTATTTCACATGATATAACCAGTTTTATATGAAAATATTAATAATTTCAATGACTGGATCTAGTGGAATTATAGAAAAAATTATTGAAAGTTAAGAAGTAAGTTTATAAGTGATATATTTGTGCTATTTCTTATAATATTTAATTAATTCCAGGCACAGATCTGTAATACTCAATGGATAAGATACATACTATATTGATATGATTACTGTACTGGTCGTCGTTCTAGCAATACGTTCGTTTCTGTGCTCTCTATATTTGTTTTAAATTTAAGTGAAATAGTAGATGCATTGCAAAATTAAAACAAAAGTCTTGCAAATCTAAGGAAACAACAAAAAAATACACTGACAAGTAATATCGAATTTGCAACCTTATATCTATAATACAAATATTTAATTAAATTTTTTTTTTAAATCTTTATACTTGAAACTAAAAGAAATATGTATAATACAAAGATGCATGCTGGATATTAGAAGTGCGCATATATAAAAGTTATTAATGAAGGTGGAGCCTAAATACAAAATTACTTCTGAGAATAAAAGTATATTTATCATTATTATAAGGATTGCGTGCATGACCTTGAAAATAGGATTTCTAACAATTAACAAAAACGCAAAATACCTATACACATTTTTAAATAGGTCAGAGAAATGTCCCTAAGGTTTAACAAGAAGCTCGATCTTGACCCACTCATTAAAGTTTCATCAGGAAAACGAAAAGTTGCACTAGGCCAATGTAGATGGCCCAAATATTTTTATGTCTGAACACGTGGTCCAGAGATAACCAGGAGATGTAACTACTAACAAATATCGTGCGGCCGTGAATAAGACATATTCTAAGGGACACAGTAGGACATAATATCCGCTGTTGTCATTGTTAGTAAAGTGTATGTATTAAAATATTCGCTCAAGAAAACGATTCACCTCCCACTCTTTTGTCACAAGGCTGAATTTTTCACAGATGAAAGGTCATGATAAGGTAACCCTTATTCCGGAGTTAATACAAAATTAGAGTGTGCAGAAGGGCATTATCATCAAAAATTCAGATATTGATACCACCGAATAGAGAAAAAAATACTCATTTTTTTGATCAAATGCACAATAAAATCTTTGTAGGGAGTAATTGTTCATACTTATTTAAAAAAAATCATTTGCATTAGCACTTACGGCTAAAAAAAAAATATAAACGTAAATATCTTGGTTTTAGCCCTTCAAAAATTTAGTTAAAAAGTCGTCTTTTTTAAATATACCACTCATTTAACAAAAAACGAAGGCCTAAATGAAAAAAAAAACATTCCTTATAAAATTTTTGGTTATGTGTTGACAAGGTAACAGAGTAAACACCATATTTTTTGCTTTTGAATTAACAAAGATATAACAATAAACGATGAGAGATGTCATAGGTTTATGCTGTTATTAATTCTCACCGCCAAATTTATTAACTCTCAGTGTATCCTTCTCTTCACCTTCAAACGTAGCATAGCTCTGTTTCTCTCTACGTGCCGGCTGATGTATCACATTATTGATATGGTAGGATTTTTCATTTTTTTTATTATAAAACTTCTCGTTATGTTCCATTGAGCAATGTGTCATATTGTTATCTGTTTTTACTAAAGAATTAATAAGTGTATGTGTTATATATTAAATTACCTAATAAATTGGGAAAAAATATAGACATTTTTGCATCTTTATTATATCTACATTCATCCTGTTGCAGCTGAATATATTTGGGTAAGTCATAAGTTTTCGTTTAAAATTTTAATTACGGATTTGTTGCTACAAGTAGCAAAGACAAAAATTATATCAAAATAGGAAAGCTCAAAAGTTGCATATCATTTAAAGAATATGCTCATATATTTGTAAACATTATTTTTAGAAATAAATTTAATGCTCAAATGATAGATGTGGTATTTGATCATTATAAAGGACATTCTATCAAAAATACAACACGTCAAAAGAGAGGATTTCAGAAATCAATTGATATAGAAATTGACCGACCCAATATTCTACTTCCGCAACAATAGAACTTGTTTATTCATTCGATATTTAACAAAAGACGTTTAACGCATTTTCTGCCAGAGCAACTTCTTCAAAACTCGCAATAATCAATAAATATGGAAAGATTTTAAACCATCAAAAGACGATTTTTTAAATTCAAATCACGAAGACGCTAATAATCGTATCTTATTGCACATATTGTCAGCCAAAAATTCGGGGCATTCACGCTGCATTATTTATTGCAACGATACAGATGTCTTATTAATTTATTTTAAGAAGTTTTTGACTAAAGATATATGGTTCAGAACAGGGCGAGGAGACTCAAGACGATTTCTAGCAGTACATTATTTAAATTTGGATGAAAACCTTCTAAAAAATGTGCCTGCTTTTCATTCTCTGACCGGTTGTAATACAACCAGCTAATTGTCCAGCATTGGGAAAAGAACCTGTTGGAAAACTTACCTTTAACACCATTACTTTTTGGATGGATTTGGCATTGATCAGTACTCTGAAAACATATTCTCTAATCTTGAAAGAATTTTCATACAAATTTATTCAAAACTGCCAATGTTACTTCCATTAACATTTTGGGGGGATTATTGGCCTCTTCAAAAACCATCGCTAAATTGCCACCGACTGAAGACGCCCTAAGACTACATTGTTTAAGATGTTTTTACCAGCTAAATATTTGGCTAACCTCTTTAAACCCAGATGCAGCTTCCTAATGTTGAAGAGTATGGATGGAAAGTAGATCAAGATGGAAGTCTGATACCCACTTTTAAGACTCTGTCCGACCTGCCACCAGACATAACAGAACTTACATCATGCAAATGCAAAAAAGATACTATACAATATTCTAACAATAATATTCTGTTTTAGACTGTGGAAGCAAAATTTGCAAATGCAAAAAAAAATATTTGCTGTATCGGTTCCTGCACCTGTATGGCACAGCCGCTAATGTTTTGGAAAATGTTGATTCGTGTGGTGAATCTGATTCTGATTAGTTTGAAAGTCGTGTAATTATAAATTTTAATATTATTAATTTATGCTTTATATACTTCCTTCCAATTATTATTATTATTATTATTATAATTTATTTATATTGGGGATTTATTGTATTTTGCAAAGCAATAGCCTTACTGTTTATAATTGATACTTCATTAAATACCTTTAATAAATAGTTTATATTTTCTTATTTTTCATTTTCCACCAAAAATAAAAAAAAATCTTGAAGTAATTAATACACCCTATTATTCATAGTGGAAAAATCAATAATCCCTGTATAAAATAATGTTAGAGATTCAAACTGATTGCATACATTTCAATACTGAGATAGATGCATAAAGAGTCGAGAGGCTCTGCCTTTAATGTTTGCTTTCTAGTAAAACCATGACATCACTAATTGTTTATTGCTATATTTTTGGTAATTTAAAAGCAAAAAATATGACGAAAGTACTTTTACCTTGTCAATATATAGGCGAAACTTTTATAAAGAATAGTTGTTTTTCATTTATGCCTTCGTTTTTCGTCAAATGAGAAGTATATTTCTAAAAGAACATTTTTTATACAAATTTGTAGACGGTTAAAACCGAGATATTGACGTTTAAATTTTTTTTTCGACCATAAGGGCTAATGTAAATGATTTTAAATAATTATAAAAAAAATACTTTCTACAAAGACCTAATTGAGCATTAGAACAAAAAATAGCCATTTTTAACCAAATTAGATGTAATTTCATTAAATTAGATGTATTAATTTTCAACAAATTCCAAAACCTAGAGATGTTAAATTGGAAGTGGCAACAGGGCTTACACCGGCATGGAAATTTACGTTATGTAGTATAAGCTCGGGCAGTTATTCATTGATAAAACTACGTAAAATCCTTCACTCTATCCCTTCTCTTACTTCTCACCTTTCGTCGCCTCGCCCCGCGTCTAGAAATAGAATATATACAGTACTAACTATTGTTGGCACCATGAATATTATATTTTATGAATGACTGCTTATATCTCTGTTATCTCTGACGTGGTCTGATGGTCTAAAAGACATATTTTAAAAACTTTTATAAATGAATCATGCATCATGCAATCGTGAGTTTAGTAAAATAGTTGTAACATAATTTTATGACGACAAAACTTGTATAATAGAATTTATCTAAATAATTGTTGTCTATTTTTGTTGGGTAATTAATATATCAATTATTATTTCAATTTCTGCTTGAGTATTCGAATGTTATTAGAACAGTAAGTTTAGTCTATCTGACCTATTTTAGTCTTTAGAATACCTGGTATAAATTATGATTTACCTTTTTATTACACCCTATATGCATACTTATAATCTTATACAAACACACATATTCATTTTCCCAATTTTAAGATAAGAACTCATGAGTACTCACCTCGTAGATACCGAACTTATAGAGCTCGCAGGCCTACCAACTGTAGTGACAGTTCTAGGCAATGTTGATCCAGCTTCATACTTAATATAAGTAGGAGAATCTTTTCTTTCGCCTTCTTTAGTATATCCCTTGTTGTCGTGTCCAGCTCCTCTTTCAAAAATGTGTTGGCGATTCTCTATTCCCACGTTCGTAGGAGTGCCAATCTTCTTTTTCTTTTTACATCCCAAGATAAAGGCCAAAATCAAAAGCGAGACCAAAAAGGCCAATATGAAGACTCCGATGAACAACCAAGTATTTTTTGCGCCGGTTAGGCTTTGAGGTTCGCTGGGTTTTAGATAAGCTAAAAGCAATTCATTTTAATTCAAAATTATTGTGCCTAAAGATGCGGAAGAGAAATTTAAGAATTTGGATTTTTACACGATCAAGTAATAAAGGCCAACTGTACTATATAGTATGTTTAAAAGATTTTTATTAATATAGGGTGACAACAGTATTTACTTTAGAATAACATAAAATAAATAATAAACTGTTAACTTACGTTCTGCTTTGACAGAAAAAGGATACCCCAATTCCCTCCTTACTTCCTCATCCGAAACCAGATTCATATCTTTAGCTGCAACAACTGCCGATACTGGTTTACCAGCGACAGAAACATGATAAATAACTTCGATGTTTTCATCGCCGTTTAGTTTCGTTTTGTTAACTTTATGAATGTATACGTTCACAGGTTTGTCTTCAATTTCACGTTTATTTCTGTTAGAGTTTGTGATGAAGAGATGCTTCTCTTGTTGCCTAAAATAATAATTTTACTGATTGTGTCGACTTGAAATGGTAATTTTCTTACCTTTGAAAAGCGGTTTTATAAAGCTTAGCTAAACTATTTTTGAGATCAATAATCACAGGATCTGTGCCATCGCTTTTCAATACTGTCAACAACCAGAATTGTCTATCTGCGTCAAATAAATCTTCCTCATTTTCCATGGAATCATTGGTGTAGGTGGGACTAGGTTTAATTTCACCATCAGGTACACTTGATGTTGTGATACAGTCTATTGAACATTTGGAAGTGTTCTTTGAAGTCTACAAAACAGATAGTTAAAGATCGTAAGAAAAAGTCTAAAAAATAAAATGATGCTTTTGATATACTGTATTTATATACTGATGTCTGTAAAAGGTCTTTACAAAAACATACCACATATTCCTTAGACCAAAATAAGTCGATTTAAGTAAAATTACCTTAGTACAAAATTGCTTCGTTTGGGCTCCAGGGGGCCTTGAAGTTACAATTTTTAAATTGTTTTTCCCATATAAATTTAAAACGGCATATGCGATTTTGCTGAAATTTGGTATATTGGTAGAGTTTTATGTGGCAAAAAAATGGTATTAAAATTATGTCCGATAATAATACATAGGCGTAGAACTTGATTTTTTAAATAATTGCACCTTTAAAAATTCTACGCCAATGGAAGAAAAGGAGTTTGAGTATGAAATTTAGATTGCGCAACTCATTTACTTTAAAAAAGGTACTCTTGATGAGACTTGATTACTCTCATGTTTTTGACGAAATTTGCATTTTAGTAATTTTAGAACATAAACAATAATTATTAAAATACAAACTTTGTCAAAACCATGAGAGTAAATCGAGTGTTATCAAGGGTACTTTTTTGTAGTAAACGAGTACCCAATACAAATTTCATACTCAAACCCCTTTTTTGCCATTGGCGTAGAATTTTTAAAAGTGCAATTATTTAAAAAATCAAGTTCTACGCCTATGTATTATTATCGGACAAAATTTTATACGATGAAAAACATAAAAATGTACTTTTCTCATATCTTCTTCAACACCTCTAATCGAGACTTTTCACAAAAATACTCGATTCTTGCCATGTACGATTTTTTGAGGAATATTAATTATTTGCCTGCAATACGTATACAAAAACATTTATTGTTGGTTTCCATAGTTTCATCTAAATAAAAATATTGTCAAGTTTTAACACCTAATCTCTTGTTAACGATTGAAAGTGTTCTATCTGACTCAATAATTAAAAAAACAAATGCGTGGTTTATTAATATGGCTGTACAATATACCAATGCAGAATATACCGATATGTTACTGACATTAGGATTTTGTGAAGGAAATGCTCGAGAGAGTGTCAGGGTGTACTCTGAAAGGTTTCCAAATCGTCGTGTACCTAGCCACCCAACTTTTGCTGCTGTTGAGAGACGTCTTCGGGACACCGGTTCCTTTGCTCCCAACACTGTTGATAATGGAAGAGAACGTTTTGTAAGGATTCCTGAAGTTGAAGAAGACATTTTAGAACGTGTTGAAGAAGATCCAGAATTAAGCACCAGACGAATCGGAAGGGAACTAGGAGTAAGTAAAGATGTCGTTCATAAAGTGCTTGGAGAACAATTGCTATATCCATACCATAAGAAGCCAGTACAAGAATTATTAGTCCATGATCCTCAAATTTGTTTGGGTTTTTGTCGATATGTTAATATGCAAAGAGAAAGAGATCCAAACTTTGTCAAGAAGGTTCTCTTTACCGATGAAGGGAGTTTTACAAGAAGAGGTATAACTAATACCCATAATGAACATGTTTATGCCGTTGAAAATCCGCATGCAATAAAGGTAAACCATTTTCAGCACGAATTCAAAATTAATGTGTGGGCTGGAATAATTGGTAATTTCATTGTTGGTCCTGTCATACTTCCACGAAGATTAACTGGAGAAAATTATTTGGATTTTCTACAAAATACGTTGCCAGAATTGTTAGAAGATTTACCTCTCCAACTTCGGAGAGATATGTGGTTTATGCAAGATGGAGCTCCACCACATTTTTCTTTAAACGTTAGAAACCACTTGATTGAACAATATCCACACAAATGGATAGGCAGAGGTAATGACGCACCTGTAAACTTGCCACCACGTTCCCCAGACCTAACACCGATGGATTCATTTTTATGGGGACATCTGAAATCTACAGTTTACAGGGAACCTGTAGAAAATGAGGAACAACTCTGGCAACGTATTCAAGATGCAATAAACAATCTTAGAGGTGATGAAGAAGTTATGGAAAGGATACATTTTAATTTTCTTCGACGTATAAATCTTTGTATGCGTAAAAATGGTGAACATTTTGAACAATTTTTGTAAAATCTCTATTTTGATTATGTTGTAAATAAATATTTTTGTGAAACCTATACACTCTAAATTATTAAAACAGAAATTTAGCAAAAACCATGAGAGTAATCGAGTCTTATGTGGAGTAACTTTTTTAAAGTAAATGAGTTGCGCAATCTAAATTTCATACTCAAACTCCTTTTCTTTCATTGGCGTAGAATTTTTAAAGGTGCAATTATTTAAAAAATCAAGTTCTACGCCTATGTATTATTATCGGACAAAATTTTAACACCATTTTTTTTGCCACATAAAACTCTACCAATATACCAAATTTCAGCAAAATCGCATATGCCGTTTTAAATTTATATGGGAAAAACGATTTAAAAATTGTAACTTCAAGGCCCTCTGGAGCTCAAACGAAGCAACTTTGTACTAAGGTAATTTTACTTAAATCGACTTATTTTCGTAAGGAATTGTGGTATGTTTTTGTAAAGACCTTTTACAAACATCCTGTAGAATCGGATAGAAATGTTTACTTTGTTTTTTCTAATAAAACTTGCCTCGTTAAGTAAAGAATTTGGTGAATCGATGAACACAGTAGTAACAACGGTTGTGGTCTTGTAAATGGTTGACGGATTTTCTTCGGATCCCCAACCTTGGTCATCGTCTGGCCCTTCACCAGATCCTGTCCAAAAAAAGTCTTCGAATTTGTATGCTCCTTGGTCCCTGTAATTGTTTTCCAGAAGAAGGAGTTCTACAAAAAAATAAGTTACACGCTTTAAATAAATTTGTAAAATTAAATAATTCTTATATAAGAGGTGAGAATAGCCACATGTGAGTTATAGGAATGGTATAGAGAAGGGTATTGGAAGAAAAGTCTTTCATTATACTGTGAGAAATAAAGAAATTTTCTTCCCCTACTCTTACTCTAAATTCTTAAATTAATATTTATTTGTCTCACTGTATAGTTAAAAGTTAAGAACAACGAAAAATAAAACTTATTCAATTGTGCATTCTTCTAAATACTTTGTGGTGTGGTTTTTCACAAATCGTTAGTATACAATTATAACAAGAAAAAATTACAGGGACAGAAGGTTAAATCAATGGACAACTTTTTTACCAGATATAGAGGCAATCGATGACACATCTGTCTATTCTCGTCAGACGAAACTTGTTTATTCATGAGCATATGTTAAACATTGCAAAAAACAAAATAGAAAATTCTGTAAAGAAAACTAAAAATGTAGCAAACAATAGGAAGAAAGGGAAAAAATAGATACAAGGAAATGGATATTGACACAATAGGTATTTTCAGACGAAGCCCTTCTGAAGAATGAAAGGAAAGTTGAAAAAGTATATTGACTCCTTTTCTAAATTCCATCAAACGTTTTAAGCGACCACTAGTAATTATCAAGACATTAAAGGTTTCAAGTTTCGAGAGAGTAAATATCAAAGGTTGCTAGGGCATAAAGTTAAATCAATCCGGGGTCTTTACCTCGATCTGCCCTTTTTTTAATGGAGTCCTCAGTGCCTTGTACCGGCATGATCGGATTGCGGAAATTCACGCATTTCTTTGTTGACTAAATTTATTCAAAACATGCCATCGTCGGTGTAGGTTTTCCCTATCTTTTATATTGATAAGCGTTAAATTGATTGAGCGTTCATTGTTTGTTTAATTTTAATATCCTGATTGAACTAGTGATGAAAGTAGGATCTAATGAAAGCAACAATAAATCCTTAAAATTCGCAATGGGTGTCAGGAGGAAGAAAGGCTTATAAAGTGTTCCTTTTTTTTTAGAAGCCATTTTAATAATTTGTTAAAAATAAATATCTAGAATCTAGGTATAAAAATTAATATTCACGATTTAATTATCAAATCTATTTTACTATTAATATCAACATTGCGTTGATCAGAATAGACAAACGTGCGGAAAGTAGATATTAACACAAGGGTGAAAAATAGATTTTATAGGGCATTTTCCGTAATACTAAATAGTGCGATATGTGTTACTTTCCTAAGTGGTCGTAGGAAATAGTAATTTGTGCAACAAGAGTGGATATGATGGCCATATCGCACGAAGACGAAATTTAAGCACGCAGCCGTAGGCGCAATGCTCAGTCATCTGAGTACGATATGGAAAATCCACTCGAGTTGTACAGTATATTTTTTCTACGACCCACTAACGAAAATCTACAAATATTAAAATAAATTAAAAATAATTTATGACTTTTATTTATTAAAAAAAAATAAACAAGAAAAAAAAAGAAAATGTTTCATTTCATTTTTCTTTATCTGAGATTTGAATTCAAGTCTTCCGTATGGAAAGCAAGAACCCTGACCACAGGACCATCTACGCGTTTGTTTTTTTTTGCTTTAATACTCGTAATTAAATTTACTTCATATAGTTTTATTAAAATTAACAAATTATTTATAATTATAGACGAAATAGCAATATAAATTCTATTATTTATCGATTCTACACAAGAATAACTCATTTTAATGTTAGTTTAATCTTAATAACTAAACAAAATACTGACAATTAGTTTGACAGAATTGCCACTTATTTAAAATTTTAAAAATAAGCAGTGGACTGTTATTGGTGGATTTCATTTTTTTGCAGTGTTATCACTACCTAGAATGGATATAAAATATATTCGTTCAGTTGAAGGCAATAGCATACTTTTTCGTTTTGTAATCTGTGCGTAGATAAGCTAATATCGATGTGGGTCCAGAAAAACATTATTTTTATTCATTAATATAATTATTTTGTTTAGATTCACCTGGTAACGCAATATAACCAACTTCCAGACCAATTTAAAAATATGTCAATGACTCGATTTAGGAAAAGTCTTTTGATAAATTATTATTTACTGAACAGTGTTGGTTTATAACTTTTGAACATTTAAAATAAATAATAAAAATACAAACTCTCTTCTGTATTAGTAACGTATGGAGGGTGGGTTACCCCCACGGCACTTAGGCCTCATTAAGCCCATTGTGCATCCTTCTAAGATGATAGGCACCTCCTAGCTCGTGAGCCAGCCTACAGATTTAATGCAGTTGACAACGTCGCCAAGAGGTGCTTTTCTTATATCGGGCTGTGTTGATAGTCGCCGAACACAAATCTTCTAATAAATGAGAGCGTCGAGCAATCGTAAAGGATATGCTCGATGGTCTCATCTTCTTGGTCGCACCCTCTGCAGAGTGCGGATTCTGACAGCCCCAAATACTTAAACAAACTCTCTTTTAAATATATGTTTTGATTTGGGTTTATGTTGTAATAAGACATGACTAACAGTTTTCCCATATGTTTCCATTTTGTTTTGTAAATTTTTTTGTATATTTTTGTTTTTGCTTTTTTTGTTTTCTTTGTTTTTTTTTTTCTTGTTTTTTTTTTGTTTTTTCTTGTTTTTTTTTGTTTTCTTTTGTGTTTTTTTGTTTTTTTATTTTTTTTTTGTTTTTTTGTTTTTTTTTTGTTTTTTTTTTGTTTTTGTCTTTGTGTTTGTCAATGATTCGATTTAGGAAAATCTTTTTGATAAATTATTTATTGAAAAGTGTGTTTTATAGCTTTGGAACATTTAAAATGAATAATAAAAAAACAAACTCTCTTATAAATATATTTTTTGATTTCGGTTTATATTGTAATAAGACATGACTATCAGTTTTCCCATACGTTTCAATATTGTTTTGTACATTTTTGTTTTTTATGTTTTTTGTTTTTTATTTTGTTCTTTTTGTTTGTTTTTTGTTTTTTTGTTTTTTTTTTTTGTTTTTTTGTTTTTTTGTTTTTTTGTTTTTTTGTTTTTTTGTATTTTTGTATTTTTGTTTTTCTGTTTTTTTGTTTTTTTGTTTTTTGTTTTTTTGTTTTTGTTTTTTTGTTTTTTTGTTTTTTTTTGTTTTTGTTTTTTTTGTTTTTTTGTTTTTGTTATTTTTGTTTTTTTTGTATTTCTTTGTTTTTTTTTTGTATTTCTTTGTTTTTTTTTTAAATTTTGTGTCTTTTTAACAAGGTTAACGAGGAATAAATGTCATGCGCCTTTTAACCAACAAATGAATTATGTATTTTCTACAATAAGCACTTAATAACTAAAATTATAAACAATATTTCTCCATATTACAGTGAACAATCTACACATGTTGCAATTTTAGTAAACGAAGAAGATAGGCATAAAATAGTTTTTAAAAAATGTGAACTAAAAAAAAATATTTACGAAAAAATCTGTAAAATGCTAGATGAAAAAATGTAAAAGATTGTTGACGAAAAAATTAAGGAGAAAAATGTCAATGAAAATGGTAACAAAACAAATAATATTGATAAAAATGGTGAAAAATGGTAAAAAATGTAATGAAAAAAATGTTAATTAAAAGTGTGAATGAAAATTATTGCAGTGGTCTGCTGCGTGTCTGTAATTTGGCATCGGTCGTAAATTGCAATAAATCTATTTTAACAGTATTACATTTTATATTTTTTATTTAATAAGTTATTATTTTTTACAGCATGTCTAACAACGAAATGTGGTTATTATCTATTAATAAAATAACGACAGAACAGTGGAAAAATGAAAAAATGTTTTTAAAAAATATTAACAAAAAATTTGTTGATAAAATGCGTGAAAACAATGTTGACAAAAAAATGAAGAAGAGACGAAGGTAGAAGAAAAAATGGTAATAAAAAAATGTCAACAAAAAAAAAATATTCACGAAAATATGCTGAAAAAAAGGTGGAAAATGTAGAAGAGAGAATATTGATGATAACATAAAATCTCAATAAAAATGACAACAAAACAAATATTGATAAAAATTGTGACGTAAAAAATGATAATGAAAAAATGTGAAAGATAACAATGTTGATAAAGAAATGTAGAAGAAAAAAAAAGAATGCGAAAAAAATATTAAAATAAATAATGGTAATGAAAAATATGGGAACGGAAAAATGACGAAAAAAATGGTGACGAATATGGTGACGAAAAATGTGGATTAAAAAAATTTATAAAAAAATGTTTACGACTGTGACGAAGTCACTAAAATTCCCATTAATTTATTCCATAAATTAATTTCCGTCTATGCACATTTGCAACTAACTAATATTTCCATAGAATTACCGTTTTTAAACCTTTGCAAGAGCCCTCTTAGTTTAAAACTTTTCATTATCAGAATAAATTAATTCATGTCTTAAAATCGCAATTCTAGTAGGTATTATCAGTATGCCGATCAATCAACGTTTTTTTTTTTTTTGCAAAACAACTAATAGCAACTACCGTCTCCACTCCAAGAAAGTCCGACGTTTGATAAAAGCAGATGTCTTCGATGAGAGGGCCATTTTTCCACGCCGTCTGTCGTGGCTCTTTAAACCGTATACGTAGTGTGCCGGATTTTAGTTAAAACCGATATTTGTTTCTTTTTTTTTTTTCGAGACAGTGAGAAGTTAATCAAGGTAGGCATTTTATTTAAAATTCCGTCTAATAATTCTCCCTGCAACATTCATTTCCGTTTCTATTATTTACCTAAGAAATTCGACCAGTACTTTGTAGGGTAGCAAATTGGATTTAGATCCGGGGGCATTAGCACCCTTCAACCATTTTCGCGTTAATCAGGGGGTGATAGTGGTATTAGCTTGCTTCCCCCCGTCGAGAATCGGAGCTGTTTCAGCCCCCTAGTCTTTTAACAGCTCGGAGAAAGGGTTTCTCTCTTGTAGAAGCTATGGACTACCAGATGTCTACATAAGAGAAACTTTAAACCGAACAAATAAAGATAAA